TCCCTTATTCCACCATTGCTGAGAAAATCTTTCTCAGATTGACAGGGATAATTCAATCATCCATACATCTCTGAAAACACTTCAAAGGGCTTCAGGAATATGGGCTATGTGATCACCAGAAAAACAGGAGAAGTTGTGAACCAAATTGTGAGTGTGAATATATGTAACTGAGTGCTGTAGTTCCTAACTGGATGCACCTACTACCTGTAGTCACTTTGCTTTTACAAAGTGTGCTCTCACAAGAAAGTGAGAAATTACTGGATGCTGTTAGCCACCTTACCCCAGAATCAAAACACTTTAGTTGATTAAAAATTGCTTTTTTTTTTTTTTTTTAATAAGTAAAAACACTGGGAGAAGTGGAAAATTATGTGAAATCTCTTACCAGAGACTTTGTTGGAGAGTTTCCTTTCAGCAAAAGTGATAAAGTAATCTGCTAGAGGGATTCTCTGATGAGACAAAAGAAAACTGAAATGACAAAGCATGTAGTAGCACCGTAGAAATTTGGAGCACATATTTTTAAAAAGAAATTTTTCTGGACCTCATTTATACTTTGGAAGCCAGGGATCCATTTAATCGCAGGAGCAGAAAATCTAGTGCACTGGTAGCTGTCTGTTTTTCATATGTCTTTATTTTGCATATGCATCTGAAACTGTTGAAAAGCCTGAAACAGAAAATCGCTTTTCAAAAACCATGCCTTGGGTGACTGGTACCCCTGAGAAAATTAGGCAAGTTCTGACCACAGCTCCAAGCTGCTAATTTATGTGTGGCAAAGAAGAGGGGAGGAGGAAGAAGACAGTCAGCTACAGATTCAGACAGAGCACAGAACTCCAGCACAATTAAGCATGAACAGGAGTGGTGGCAGAGAAGAAAGCTGAGGGCACAGCATGTGCTGAGATAGGGCAATATCAGGTTATCACATTGTAGTTAAGCCAGGAGCAGCTGCTGCCAGCAAAACCAAACCTAGTTTGCTCCTTGGCTGCAAACTTAAAATATCAACACCCTTTAATTATGCATAAAAAGATAAACAAAGCTAGCAGCTTTAAAGTACTGTTATTAATTGCACCAAATGTTAGTGAAAGGTTGAATTATTCATAGTTATAGTTCTCAGGGGTTTCTTGATTAAGGGAAATAGGAGAATTTTTTGTGAGTATCTTGTTCCACATAGCTTTCTCAGTTTGCCTGATCCAAGAATCAGGGATATATTTTACATGTCAGTTCTGCAAAAAATGCATATATCTGCTAGTTCCTTAGCAACCTTCTGGGATATGCCTGCATCTACTCCCATCAACCCTGCGTATCGGATATCGTCTCCAGTGGGTTTCCAGGGTTCAGTGGATTTTGCCACAGTAATAATACCATTCATGTGCAGTTAGAGTAAATAATTTTATTTACTTACAGGATCATTGCTACATTTTCGGTTTTATTAAAATGTTTCTCCAGGAAAACAATATGTAAACATACTTCATTGAAAGCCCTCTGTATGAATGAAGAATGCTGTAAGCTGTACTAGTTGTATACAATTTTGTAATAACTGAAAGCAAATACTGCTCCTTCAGAAGCCAAGTTGTTCTTGTCATAGCCTGGACCTCTTTTCTCTCTGCATTTTAGCTAGAGATAGTAGCCAAAATCAGTATAAACTTCTGGAAAGGAAGATTTTAAAAGAACAATACATCTTTATAGTTTGTGCAATTTCCTCTTCAAAATGTTATCTGTGCAGCATAAATGCCTTAGATTTATCATTCTGGTATAATTTATGAGTCACCTGAACCTTATCAAACAACTCATACTTTGGTAACTTGAACATGTTAGGAGACCAAGGGATGGTTCATCTGAGTAATTTTTCGTCATATGAGTGGTGTAAACTAACTGGAGCATGGAGTAAGAGTCCCTTGACTGAGACAGTGTTCCCTGGATTCAAACTGAGCTCAAAATGTGCACTGCAGTCAGGAGTGTGTGGGTCTCACTCAGCAGCTTATTCAGTGCATGTCAAACCTTCCACTGAATGCAGATGAAGAGCTCCTGTTTAGCTGCTCATGCACCTGCCTTTTGGTGGTGCTTAGACATGAATGCATGCAGGTGTTGTGGCTTAGTGTATCCAACACTCGTCCTCAAAGTGGAGCTTCAAGACTGCACCTACTTGCTTCTGGTGAAACTGATGGAGTTAAACTTAAGTCCATGGAGGAGTTTTAACGAGGATGGTAGCGACAGGAGAAGGGATAATGGCTTTAAACTGACAGAGGGTGGTTTTAGACTAGGAAGAAATTCTTTCCTACAAGGCTGCTGAGGCACTTGGACAGGTTGCCCATAGGAGTGGAGGATGTCCCCTCCCTGGAAGTGTTCAAGGCCAGGTTGGCTGGGGCCCTGGACAACCTAATCTCCTTCAGGAAACCCTTGCCCATAGTCTCTGCCTACCCAAACCATTCTATGATTCTATTCTATTTGTGACCTGTCAAAATGTAATCTATTAATGTTTATAAACAGCTGGAAAAATCCTGTCACTGAAGGTTTTGTTGTTTCCTTCACAGAGTCAAATTCACACTATTTTTTTTTTTTTTCTCTATTTAGGATGAGTCCTATATTTAAGTACAAAGTTTTCTTGCAAATAAAAGGCAAGTCATAGTAATTTAAGTCACATTTGAGTATATTAAGGCCTAGAAAGACTGAGCAAAAATCACATAGGTCAGATATATAAACAGCTGTTTAAATAAATACGGAGGCTATCTGTAGAGATACATATAATGCATCTATGAAAATATATATTAAATATATAGAATGCATACATAGTCACATAGATTTACACATCCATTTAAATAGCTTTTACATGGAAATACATGTGACTAATTTTTGGTGTGATGAATGCCCTAGCTGTCCTTTCACACATTTGTGTAATAAGGGTGAAATTGTATTCGCACTTGCCTTATCAAAATTAATAACATATTTGACAGCACGTGAATATGATCTTTAAGTAGCTTTTAAATATAATAAAAATTACAGTTTACCATGCATGTGTCAGTTTCTATACAGACAAAGAAGGATTTAGTCCAGGGTTGCCTACTTTCTCCACCCTTTTGATGGTATTTCTGTGGCTATGATCACAAAACTTGTGCTTGAGAGAAGGGAAATCTCCTGAAGTGGTTTATAAGAAAGACAAGACAAATTTCCAGCAGAGTTACCATTTTCTCCAATGATGCTGGTGGGCTGGGCATGAAGCTGAGTGCCCAGGCAACCTAATTATTGCAGCTTCTGAGAGCTCACTTTAACCAGATCTGTAATCCTATTGATCCTATTCCCCACCTGAGTGGTTGCTTGGTCACCTTGGTTTAGCAGCTGGTTCAGGGGATGAGTCTTAAAATAAATGAAGTCACAAATAACTGCTGTACATAGCTTGGGCAGAAAAGGATAAATGAGAGGCATGTAAGAGTTTTCATGTGATTTGATATTGAGTTTAATTGTGCTCATGGTGGGGGCCTGTGTCCCTTGTGTCATCATTTTCCTTTACACTGCCACTGAGGGTTTATCAGCCAGGTAAGAGTATGTGTGCCAGCTGCTGTGCCAGCTGGCCCCCTGTTGACTTCTTTGGCATGTCTGTGCTGTGCAATGATGTGGTGCAGAGGTGCTGGGATTCAACTTGCCCTGAGCTGTTACGTCCACGCTGTGTGTTGCAGCATCGTGTGGAGATATTGGCTCGAGTCCCATCAGCGGTGTATTGCAATAGTATTGTTCCACCAGCTCTGAGAACTCTTCCCCACATTTTCTGTGCTAGGTTTGGTCATTACTCACACATTTCTCATTTTTGATCATTTCAGCACATTATTCCATTTTAGTTGTGACACAATCAAAGACAAACTCAAGCCAGCAAACAGTTACTGAGACAATTGCTGTCAAAACCTGAGCTCCACACTAGTACTCAGAAAAGCATAAAAGTCAGTGTGGCTGGCAAATCTAATACTATTAAGTTTGTTGTGTGGATTAGAGTTTCTCCTGACTGCATCTTTTCTCATTTTGCAATGTTGCATCCAGACCAAAAAAGCATCTTATTATGGAATTACCCTTTCTAGCAAGTCACTGGAGCTCATTGCCTCCAAGGATCTTGTGGTTTCAGGATAGATATGCTCAGTAGTGTGTGTCAGCTAACTGGAGACATCCTATGTGCTCTCTGGGAAGTCAACCACAATCTTGAGCTGCTGTGACAGGGGAATTGATAAAGGATTGATTGACCAGCTTTGCCCTGGATAGGGATAACCATTTTCTTCCTAAACTTTCATCCAGCGCTTTGGCAAGCAGAAAGCCTGTACCAGAGCCAAATGTGTAATTACTTCAGTAACAGTGATGACATGTATGCCTGTTCTGCATGATCCTATTTTGTTGCTTCTTCTGTTGGTTATGAGCAACTCAGATAATAGGAACCTCATCCCTGCATCTGTCTCTCAACAAGGGGAGCTTTAACCTAAGCTTTGAGCAGGTTTTAAAGAGGAAGAGAAAAAACACATCAAAATAACGAAAAGCAAAAGTACATGAACAGGTACTGACTTGCTAAAAAAAGAACAGCATGTGCTTTCTCAAGGGTAATAAAGGCCGTATTGCTGTACTGGGCTTTGCACATACATGAGAACCATTGCAACCACTTTTACTGCAAAAAGCTGCCACAGTATCTCAGGACATTCTCAAAATATATGGGTCGTGCCATGTGGTGTAGTACTCATCAGTCCACAAGGGTCTGGCTTCTGCCACTCTGCTCTCTATTCTATTATCTTCTCTTCTACTCTTCACCAAAGGAATATTTAGTAAATAGCTAAAATAAATAAAACTTAGCAACAGATTATTCCTTCTTGCTGTCTCATAGAGAGATAATCATGCATGCAATATGTAATTTTATTTTAAGCAGCTTTCATCTATTTCTTTTGTGACCTCAATTTATAAGTGTGCATGGAATTAATTCATCATCTCCAGACAGGCTCTTCAGATGAGGACATCTACCTTTTTTTATATTTTTGAGTATAATATTACTGCAATTAACAGAACTCTTTCATAATCCAGTTCAGCTCACTGCTTTATTTTAATTTCTTGACAGGTTTTCTTCACTGCTTGTGCCTGTGTGTACACATGTATACAGACAGAGACAGAAGCATAATGCATCAAAGCAGCAAAATTATTCAATGTCATGCTCAAAAAGGGTCAGTGTCCTGTAGGTGCCATGCAAAAGTTATTTAAAATTCACTCTCTCTTTTTCTGCAATATTTTCTCACCTGCTTTGTTCAGTAAAATACACATTTTTAAATGACCAAGCAGGAAATATATGTCTTTTTCACTAAAACTTTTTTCCCCTTCTGTGCAGCAGCAGCTGCCTGCCATTTTATTGTTTTTTGTCGCTAGCAGGCTTTTTGGGTGTGTGCCAAGGATTTCGTGTGGGGAGCAGGACGATTTGCATCTGAATGGTGAATGGGCAAGGCTGGGCGTGGGCACACTCAGCCACACCAGGTGAGGTAGAACAGCTGCTTCCAGCTCACCTGGAGTAATTAATTCAATAAAAAGTTAATTACAACGAAAGGGAAAAACAAACTTCCATATAACAGATGGTAAATTTTTAGTGTGATGAAATCTAAGAGGATTTTCTTTTTAAACACCAGTATGGTGTGCCCTAAGTGGTATACAAAATTCTCTTGGTATATACTCAAGTAATTGCATATGTTGTTTCTGTATACTGGATTTGCTGTGCTTTTTTGATACTTATTTCCTTCTGTTTCAGATACGTGTGTGTTCTTCTTCATAAAACTTTTCATCAACACATAGTATTCCTGGCAGAGTATGTTTCTGGCTTGATTGCTGGAGGAGTTGCAAGTCTTTGTGTCAATCCGTCACTCTCCTTCTAGAAACTTTTGAACCTGAGAGTCGGGACATCACCCAAACTGCAGAGAGGAGCAGGTGCCTTATGAAAACTGAGGCTGGGTCACATAGAAAATCTTTGTCCACTCCTTTATCGAGAAAGAGCCATGGCATGAAGTTTAGCCCTTTCCCAAGGCATTTGGCTGACCCAGGAGCTGAGGAACTGGCTGGCCAGGCAGGAGGTGAGTATGTAGCTGGGCAGTTTACACAGAGGGCAGTCCACATGCATCTTCTGCTTAGCTGATGAAACTGTGCGAAAATGTGGAAGAAAAGAAAGAAAAATATGCTGAGATGGGCACAAAACCATTCCTTACTAGGGATGAGCACACATGTTGATGGTAGGGGTCATAAAAGTTAAGGTGGCAGAGCTGGGCTGGGCTTTTAGTTGAAATAACCTTGAGAAATTGTGTTTAATTAATGTCAGTGCTTCTAGGATAAATACTTTCTAGACAAAGAGAAACTTTTTGTACAAAATTTAATTTTGCTAGAATAACGTTAAAAAGACTGAACTCAAGGTTCCTTGCTACTTTGCAAGCTAGCAACGTGTTCATGATGATTGCTGGCTCAAACTTTCAGAAACAAGAGATATATGAATATGTATGAATGCATAATAATTTTGGAGGAATTCTGATTTTTATAAAATACTGAGCTCCCATATGAGAAAGCTGAGGCATTAACCTCAGTTCCTTCTAAGGCAGTCTTTCAGTATCAACTGCTACAACTGAACAACATATTTTTAAAGTATTTAAGAATGAGAATATTGTTCAGGCTTATTTTGTTTCAAAAACTTACCTAGCCATTCCTAGTGCATTTTGCATTTCTTCCTTTCACTGGCTCCAGTAGGAGGTTAGCTTCTTCTCAAACAGCCTGATGGCATCAGACAAAAATATGTTGTTGTGCAGGCAGAAAAAGGAAACCATTGCTGTTCTCAGTGATGGGTCTGATCCTACACCAGTTTAATGCTTTCCATCAAGCCAACATATACAGAGCATTTATCAAAATTGAAGGCTTCCAGCTGGAAGAACTCTGTTCAAAATACTGCCAGAATTTTCCATCATTTTCAGAACTAGATCCCCAATAGTAGGCTTAGGAAATCCTGGTCCTGCTGCTGTCAGTAGGCAGACTCAGTGATCTGTATTGCATAAGGGATAAAAGGAAGGGAGGCAATGATTTACTCTGAGATAGCAATTTCCCCACATACTCCCACCCCATCTGCAGGTAATTAAAACTTGCTGGTGTAGTTAATCACACCCATAGTGTAGACAGACTTCAACCACAGACCTGGGTGGCACTGCTGGCAGTGTCGATGGCACAGCCCAGGTGTATTTAGCACCCTCCTGGGGATCCTTCTTGCCCTTGCCTTGCTGTGGCTCCAGGCACCTCTGACAGCACGGGGACTCTGCACCAGCTATCAGATGAGACACTCTGCTGTCTAAGAAATAGCAAATGTAGGGACATGCTATAGCAAAAAGCACATGTTGTGGTTTTGCTGGAAACTACATGCTAAATGATTTTGATGTGAATGTTTTACTGGTACATACAATGAGAAGACCGGTGACACTCTGTGTCTGCTCTCTCTGATGCAGACCTGCTCTCCACAGAAGATGGCCAACAAGGAAACCTCACACTGTGAGGCTCAGTGTGTGCTCCGTAGCAGTATTACTGTTTGCTACTAACACACACAAAATTTATTGAATGTTGTTTGGTTTTTCAACTGGAACAAATAAATCTGTCAGTACTTTAACTTGAGCTTGTCCTACATGCAGCAGTTAACATTCCTTAAGCCTTTGTGTTTGATATTGTATTTGGAAGCTCGCTTCATAATTATAGGTGGGGCTGTTGGGCTCCTTGTTACTCAGGCTACCCTGGACCAGAACCAAGGTTTTGTAATGAAGGAGACAGTTGTCTCAGGGACCCTTGCTTGTCTGATAGACCTACAAAGATGTAGGTGCACAGGGCAGGTGGTTGCATGTGAAAGAGATTACTTTCATAGTAAAGGCACTTAAGCATTGCTCACATCAGTAGGATTTCTTTTCTGCCCTTACCATCAGGTTCTCACAGTGATTTTCATGGAAAATTTCTGTTTGTGGTATCTTACCTTAATGAGAGGTTAGAATGGGATCAAGAGAAATGCATCATGTTTAGAGAAACCAGTGGCATCTCAGATCAGGTACCCAGAATGTGGTTTCACATAAGATCTCAACCCTTCTGTGTCCCACTTCTTTATTTGTAAAACACAGATAAACAATTGGTATCTTGGGAGGATATTACTAAAAAGAAATTGAAACCAAGCACTGATACCCATAGAACACAATAATGGTGGAGGCACAGGAAAGATTGTGAAAAAAATTATTTTATGATCTAAACAGAGTTCCAGCTGCAGAGCTGGAGACCTCACACTGCGTAATAAGGAAAAAGTTATTGCAAAGTCACTCATTAAATGTGCACCATCCAGTCTGCTCTGGATAAGGTGAATTTCACTTGATAATAACAGAGTTTAATTATTCAGATGCTGTAGTAAAACACACAGTGTGGCTGAATTAGATATGCAGATAAAATCTGAACTTCCAAACTTTTGGATGCCTGATTTTGCAATCCAGGTAATACTATTCTGGCACAGGGAGATGGAGAGAGGTAGGGTTGTTTATGACAAACTGTAGAATCTTATAATCACATGTATGATTTCTAGTCTCTTTGTTCCCTCTGCAATGGTCATAAGATCAAAAGATTATAAGTAGATGAAAGAGGGAGATAAAAGGACTTTTGGTCATATAAAATACTGTAGAAGGTAATGAAATTATACCAAGACCCTACATTTTTCATATCATTAGAAACATTTTAGAAACACTCCCGGGAAGTCTTGAACAGTATCATTAGACATTTGATGTGAGATATATTTATTTTCTTATGAAAATTATTTGGGTTACAGGATTTCCATGAGGAATTGATCAGAAGCTTGTGATTCTGATTCAACAGGCAACCATGCAGGTATTTAACAGAGGAAAATCCCTGCTCCAAAGGAATTTCAAACTAAATTATATTTATTCTGAGTTGGAAGAAAGGCTCAAATGGCTGACACAGGCCTGTGCTGTGCAGACAATGAGATTATTGTCATTTTGTCAATTGTCATATTGTCTCAGGGCATATAGCTCTACAGCACAGTGATGTGCAGCCCTTTTGGACTATCTTGAACTCTAAAACAACCACATTCAGCCAATATCTTCAGCTTCCTTTATCCAGCTCAGCTGTGCTGGCAAAACTGAGCAGGAGGTGGCAGAGCCAGGATGGAGAAGCCTAACGAGCCAGGCTTGCTGCTTCTGTATCAGCCTAGGGGGTGTGGGATAGGTTGAAAAGAGTGAAGAAAATACAGTTCCTACTGGGATGCTGGTCATGGTGTCCTGGACGTCCCAAGCATCCTGACTCTGTCCTCACTGGTGGTGGCAGCTGCAGCTGTCTGAGTTTCCAGGGACAGGGAAAACAAGCAAAACAGGCAGCTACCGTGCTGGCTGCAGCAGCCTGCTGCCTTAGGCAGTGACAGGGTTTGCTGCTGCAGCAGGGCCAGGAGGAAGCAGCCCAAGCAGAGAGCTGGCTGTTCATACTTGTGCTGAGTTCCCCAGCACTTACTCTCATCATGCAGAGCTGTGCATGATGCCACAGCTGAGACAGCAGCACCTCTAGTCCAGCTCCTTTCACCTGTACAGCTCAAAGATCTGCCCACATTAAAAACATGCCTTGTGGCCCTCTTTGCTCAGAAGGGACAGTTCTTGGTTGAGTTTTCCCTACAGTGTGGATTTTATAAAGTGAAGTTGCCTCCCACAGCTCTAACTGAGGTATATGGTCCTTTGTTTCTGTTTTGTTTCTACTAAGCTGCTTTACTCAGCAATCTTATCAGTGTTCATGAAACTTCAACCCTAATGCATTTGTTTCTGCTTAAATGCTTTTTTACAAAATGCTATTTTGTTTCTGCTGCTTGAAATTATATTTAACAGTATCCAAGCTAAATTTATGCACGCACATTTAAAGAAGGAGTCTAGATATAATGCGTTTTTAACCATGTGAAATATATTAGTAATGGTACTTACAGAAAGAAAAGAAAAATTATTTTTGCTTGCATTAGTTCCATCTTTGCAGTATGCAGATAAGTACCATACCTTTGACAGTGTAACTATATTAGGTTTGCCTGAAAGCTAGCAGTCAGCAAGCCCTGTGCACGACAGCCATAACAGGTGTCTGTGTAAGGGGTGCTGTGGTAGCAGGAGCTCCACACACTTTTCAGCTCCCACAGCTCAAAATGGTCCACATAAAAGTAGGGGAGACAGAGCATGGTAAGCATAACCCTGACTGAATGCTTGAGGAGAGGGGTATTCTTACAATTAGCAGAAATCACAAAGGAAGAGGGGAATATTTAAATACAGCCTTGACCTTTCCCTCTTTTCCTCCAGAATCATCCAAGGAAAGGAGAAGTGTCCTCATGTGTGGTTTTTTTGTTTGTTTCATTTTGTTTTTTAATTATTTTTTCCCTTAACATGTGTTTTATATGTTAGAATGGAAGCAGCTAAAGGCAGAAATCCATCTAAAGGTGGCTGATAAAAAAAGGTTAAGGAAACAAAGACTTCTTACACTGTCATAACTGTAATGGTAATGAGAAAGGATGTGGTAACATCTCAAACAGAAGACTATTATTAAGTGAAAGTCAAGCAGCAATCAGATGTGGGGCTGGCAGACATTTTTGCTTAGCTAAAAATAATCAAGCTGTTGTTTTTAGTTTTTCCATCTTCATTCAAACAGTTTGGTAGCACCGATAGTAAAACGAAGCATTGTTCTGGCAAAACAGATGATGCTTTGCACGGCGCTTGACTGCTGGTGGTCAGGATGCCTGGCTGCCAGGTTGGTTGTCAGCCTGGGAAGGATCCAGCCAAGCAGGGACCTTTCCAGCTGCTGTATCCCTGAACATCTCACTAGCACGTGCAACCCCTCCTGTGCTCAGCTGGTTTTGCTGTTCAGGAGAGACTGGGGAAGGCGGGAGTGACATCAGAAGGTTTTGGGGGTTGTGGGTGAGGTTGAGGACTGTTGCTTGCTTCTCTGGAGGCCTCAAGCACATTTCCTGAGCTCTCTGATCACACAGCCTCCAATCTCCAAAGCTGCTTTACGTTGCCCAGTGTCCTACTGACAGATCACACTTCACTTATTGATAGAAATGCCTCAGCCTTCCTGGCAAAAGCTTCCCACCTAACCTCACCAGGAAGTCAGGAATTACACATTTTGCTGGTGAAAACCCCCGAGGGCCAGCCTGTCTGTGAAACAGGTACGGGATGTGGTCCTGTGAGCAGGGTCAAGCAGCTGAGAGAAGTTCTTCCCCAGTTGGTGCCCTGGGAAGTTGTCTTTGGCCCAAGGGTCCCCAAGAATATCCCTGTGGAATGATGAGCTCAGAAGGAGGGAGGCAAGTCTGCTTGCTCTCCTTTGCCTACCAGCATTGCCACTGAGCTGCTGGCTTGGACTTCCAGGATTAGGGTGTGTGAGCTCGCATTCCCTCAGGCAGCAGAAGGAAACACAGCAAGCTCTCCTGCATCCTGGATGAGTGTTTTAGTGACTGCATGAATGCAGAAAGCTTTCATGACAGCAACTGTGAGCCACAAAAAAGAAAACTTGAATCCTGCACTAAGAAAGAGTGAAGTGTGAGCTGTGTGCGTGCTCAGCAGGAAGAGACACATGCTGGGAGATGGAAACCAGAGGAGAGGGGACACTGCTGTGGAGACCCAGAGGAAGAGAAAATATTTAAATCCCACCTCTTCTCCAGCACTTTTTGCTGGACTGTCTCTTGAACACAAACATCTCTCCTTCCATGGATTCTTGTTTTTGGTGCCATTCTGGGACACCTGTAATAAGGGAAGAGGTGGAAGGATGGTTACCACTTTCTAATTGGAGGCATTGCATTTGGGTCTGAATGGCACATAGGTGGACACCTGCTAGATACCTGAACCTGCCTAAGGAAACTCTCCTGAGCATTGTCAAGCACCTCACAGGCAATCCAGTGACTCATGAGCACTGGGCTTGCTCTTGGGTTCAGTCTCACACATGAATAGTTGATAGACCACACATTCGTGCATCTTGGTTCTTCTTTTTTTGCTCTAATTTTTTTATTTTTAAGCTACTTCAGTTCACAGTTATACAACATGGGTAACCATGTGTGTGTGTCCTTGTCCCAGGGCAGATCTTAATAGAACAAGTACAATTA